AGTAAATGATTTAATAGGGATTACAAAATTATGAAGTTTATCATGAAAATACTTGCTTAAAAAGTAGACCCACTGAATTCTTGGGGGAGAAATTAAACTATAGCCAGGTGGGCTTTTTGTTTGTTTGTTTTCAAGGCAGGTTTCTCTGTGTAGCCCTGGCTGTCCTGGAACTTGCTCTATAGACCATACTGTCCTCAAACTTTCAGAGATCCACCTGCTGCTACCTACTGAGTGCTTGGATTAAAGGCATGCGCCACCACCACCCTGCTCATAGCCAGGTTTTTGTTTAGTTGGATTTTTTTTTTTTTTTGAGATTGGTTTTATGTAGACTGTGCTTTAGTGTTTTATGTACATCATGTAGGGCTGCATCTGCTTGAATGAACAGAAGGTGGACACAGTAGAATGCATAAATACCTTTTATTTTTCTTGCAGCACCAGAAAGTTCTTTAGATTACCTTGCCCTTAAACAATAAGGTCTGCGGAGAAAAAGAAAAACCTGTTATTTTGACACTCACATGTGGGTTGACATAGCCCTACAAGTAATACAGGCTTTGCGGCCGATGGATTGATTGTCAGTGAAACCCTGAGGCCCATAATCACTCATCATCCCCTTAGTTTGGAGAGTGGTTTTTAATAGGTTTCTTAGAAACATGCAATTTTTAGAAACCTATGGATTGCATTTAAAATATAGGTCATGATAATATTTGGTTATTAGCATAAGCACAGTTCTCAGAGAGGAAGCAGGTAAATTAGCTGATAGTGGGAGATTTGATAGACTGAAGATGGTAAATAGTAGGTGGATGACTTTAAAGTGATAACCTTGGTGACCTTTTAAAGTTAATAATTCCCTAAGTAGCAAATATAAGATTAGGAAACAGTGTATTCTAATGAATAGTAGTTAGAAATAGACTTTGTGAGCTAGATGATGATAAGCAATCTGGATTTTCAGTGAATTGAACAAGAAACCAGAGATGTTAATTAACTTGCCCAAGCACGGTTGTTATAGTCCCTGTAGTGTAGCAATTGATTACTCTGATTCTTGTTAAATCTTTTGTGCTTTTTAAATTTTTGACTAGAGCCAGGAAGATGGCTTAGTAAAAATGTTTGTTGTGCAAGATGTGACCAGAGTTTGATCCCTGGAACTCATGGGATGATGCACATCTGTAATATCGGTACTTCTAATGCAGTCAGTGGCAGACACAGTCAGGTCTTTCAGGAACAGGAGAAGTGACTCTAGAAAGTTGTCCTCTGACCGCAACACATGGGCCACGACATGCGTGCACCCACATTCATACACACACAGTTCTAAAAATTTTGACTGTCTTTTCATTATGAGTCTCAGTATATACAGAACAGTATGTTTTAGCTCTGTGACTGATAATTTGACCACAAAATCTCTGAGTTTTTGTATTCTCAATTTTTTCTGCTGTATTCTTAGTATTGTAACGGTTACAAGGCTTATTTAAAGTAGGCTGCCAGGTACCTGAATTCAGTTCGACAGCTGAAAACATACTGGAAATTCAGAAAGTCACTAGACATTACTACCCTTGTGACTTTTTCCACAGTTCTTGGCCAGTCCTTGCCTGATAGCTTTTTTTTTATTATTGATTTTATTGAGCTATACATTTTTCTCTACTCCCCTCTTTTTCTCTCCCCTCTCCTTCAACCCTCTCCTATGGTCCCCATACTCCCAGTTTACTCAGAGATCTTGTCTTTTTCTACTTCCCATGTAGATTAGATCCATGTATGCCTCTCTTAGGGTCCTCATTGTTGTCTAAGTTCTCTGGGGTTGTGATTTTCAGGCTGGTTTTCTTTGCTTTATGTCTGAAAACCACTTATGAGTGAGTACATATGATATTTGTCTTTTTGGGTCTGGGTTATCTCACTCAATATGATGTTTTCTAGCTCCATTCATTTGCCTGCAGATTTCAAGATGTCATTATTTTTACCGCTGTGTAGCTCTATTGTGTAAATATGTACCACATTTTCCTTATCCATTCTTTGGTCGAGGAGCCTTTAGGTTGTTTCCAGGTTCTAGCTATTACAAATAATGCTGCTATGAACATAGTTGAGCACATATCCTTGTGGTACGATTGAGCATCCTTTGGATATATACCCAAAGCCTGATAGCTTTTAGTTGCATGATATGTCTTAAAAGATACTGGTTTTTGAGAAGAGATTACAGGATTTAGCCCTTTAAAGACATCCATGAATGTATTCCTTCTCACTCAGAACTAGAGAGCAGAAGGATCATTGACATCTGAGTGCAGATGTTATCACCACTTACACAGCTGGCCCTGATTCTGAATTCTTTACCACTTTTGCTTGCTGTGGCCAGAGGAATCCCTGTGTGAGGATTCAAGTTCCTGTAATCTGAAAGAACTCATAACAGTGCCTCTGAAGCTTTTAAATGTGAACTTTGTAGTAGAATAATAGCCATTACCAGAATACAAGTGTATTTTGGGGGAGATTTTTATTAGGAATATGGGTAGCTCCTAATTGAATTATAAAAATGGAAGTCTTGATTAGTTAGAAATCAATGATGAAATTGTAGGAGTTTAAAAATACCTACAACTAAATTGGTAACGAACCTAAACTATTGGTGATTTTCTTTTCAATTAAAAAACAAGCTTGATCATCAAAACCCTTGAGTAGGTAAAGATGGCATGATTTAACTAGCAATAGTATTTCTTGAAAATTACTGTTATAATAACTTTTGAGAATCAAATGTGGTAACATTGCTAGTTGCAGTAACCAGACTTAGTTCTCAAATACAGATATAAGTCCATCATATATTTTGATAATGTTCGTTTAGCATTTATTCATATGTAGCCTTGTGGATCAAAGGACAATTGTGTTTTCTTTCTTAAGTGATTTGTATGCAGAGACTTGTCCCATTTTTAAAAAGAGAAGTATTATTTAGATGTCTGATCTGGTGATCACAAGCTTTTAGTGAGCATTGTTTCCCTGTGAAGGGCCTGGTTTGAAGTTCACTTAGTATCTTTACTTCTGGACGGCTCGTAGCCTTTATAATGCTAATGTACTTTCACTAATCTGATTGGATACGGTTTGTAGTTTCTCAAACCCATTTCCCAACAAAACTTCCCTGTTTTTAGGTTTAACCTTAACCACAGATTCAGAAGCCTTCTGAAGAAAGTAATGTAAGAAAAGCATAGTATATCTCTGAGGCAGGGAGTGAGAGCAGTTTCCTGCTTGAAGGTTACATACAAGTCTTTCGATGTGATAATCATAATGAGTCATAGCTGTTTGCAGTTATGAATGTATTTGCAGAATACAATTTTGTCACCATGTTTTGAAAATTTAACTTTGTGAGTAGAATTTTGTATACTTTAGTTAGACTGTACAAGATATATGATTATTAATTTGACTCAGTTTGGGGTCATGTAGTCTGCATGTAATGTTTACATTTTTTAAAAAAAACATCAATTTAAGCTCAGTATTTTAAAAATATTAATCATGAAATATGTTGTGGACAGTATACAATCTTCATGACTTTTTAAGCAAAAGAGAATATTTTAGTTTTTTTGTAGACTTGGCAAGGTTTGAAAGCTTCATCTTTGGTAACACAAAGTATTAGTATACCTTTTTTAGTATACCTTGTGTATCAATGCTTTTATTTCTCGTAGGCTAAATATATTAAGATAAAAAATTCTTAATATGGAAACATTTTTATTAAGGTAAGGAATAAATACAGCCCAGTCATTTGTCTATAAAGTAGTTTATCTAAAACAAAATTACACGTGACTGACTTAATGGGCAAGTTTCTTCAAAGGATTCTCTCCCTGAAATGGAACTATGTTTTTCCAAGTGGTAAAAATGATCCCCACTTCCCCACTCACTTGGTGACTAAACTCATTATTAGGACTTGTGTACATTTTATATTTTGGAGATTTCTTTCCACTCACTATCCTATTTTTTTTTATCATACTGTATAGCCAGGAATACAGCCCTCTTCTGTAGGTTTTATAACAATTACCTTAAACTTACAAACAGGAGCAAAAGAAAATGGATAATATTGAAAAATTTGCAATTTTTATAAGCATATAATTTTAGTGCCATAAAATTGATACTAACTCTCTGGTGTAATATAAATAATTCTTTTATTATTGAGACAGGGTCTAAGCATCTAAAAATTTTCAGGATAGTAAGATCCTAGAAGCATTTTAGTTCTTGTGAAAGTGCTGTGCTTATAGAAGGACATTGGTGTACAAAATGGTCATGTAACTATACAACATGTATAATCTAATGGACATTGAGATTCCTTACTACCAAGTACCTTAGATATTAGGGGTGTAGAATACAGATATTGCTATATCAGTGCTGTGTAGGCAAACAGAGTGGCTATTATATCTTCTTCAATGGATGCTTACAACAGAGTTGGACACTAGCATCTTTTATTGAAAAAAGAAATGTTATCCAAGATGCTAGAGCTATTCTTTTGTCTGTGGAAAACTGCCTGATAAGCTTTAATTTTTGAGAAAAGAACTCACTGTTCTTTGTTGTGTGCACATAGTTTGTACATTTGAGTTTGCATTTTGATTGTTTATTTGTTGTGTCTAGCTTCCTTTCACAAGAATTTATACTTTGTTAGTGAAAAGACTATAAATTGCATTCAGTGTACATGTGTTTCAAAACATGTTGTATATAATAAATATATACAATTTTGTCATTAGTAAGTTTGTTACTCTTTTGTAGTTACTAGCTAGACCTTTGTCTTTCAGTGTGCCTTCAAAGAGACTGAAAGATATATGTAAAGGCTCCTTTATAGTCTCATTGAAGTGAATTGTCTTGTTTTGGCTAAAAGGTTATCAGCTCCAAATGTGGCAATCTAGTTAAAGCTCCCTGTTAATTGAAATGGGAAATGCCATTATTCAATAAGTTGGATTGCTGAGAGAGAGAGAGAGAGAGAGAGAGAGAGAGAGAGAGAGAGAGAGAGGGAGGGAGGAGAGAGAGAGAATGACTATAGAAGTTTGAAAATATGAGGCCCGTGGGATCACACTTTAAAAAGTTTTGCTAGCAAAATAATATATGATAAAGGGGACCTGTAACACAAATTCTAATTGGTCTTAATAATAAAAACTTGGAGTCAGGTAAGCTGAAGGATCAGAGAAGTAAAACAGCCAGCCACTGGAGAGTTCTAACCTCTACCAATGCTTGGACTGAAAGGGCGAGATTCTGTCTCTATAAATCTTCAGACTGAATGCTGTCTCTATGAAACCTCAGACTACATCTCAGACTGAATCCTCAGACTGCATCCCCAGACTGCATCTGAGCTCCCATCTCTTCCCACCTTATATTCTCTCTCCACCCAGCCATATCACTCGTGTCTCTACCTCTCTTGTGCTGGGATTAAAGACGTGTGATCCCAAATGCCGGGATCACCTTTGCGAGGGCTCTGTTTCTGTTTTAGACAGATTCATGGCCTTGAACTCAAAGAGATCCCTCTGTCTCTGTCTCCCGAATGCTGGGATGAAAGGTGTGTGCCACCACTGTCTGTTGCTAACCTGTGGCTTAGCTCTGCACTGTTAGGCAATCTTACTTGTTAGATTACAAACAAAATATCACTACAGGGACCCAGGAAGGGAGATGGCTCAGTTGGTGAAGTACTTACCACTCAATTAGGAGAACGTGAGTTTAATTTCCAGAACCCACAAAAAGCCAAGTTTTATGCACTTGTTATCCCAGCACTAGGGAGGTGGAGATGGGCTTATCCTTGGGACTCACTGAGTATACAGCCTAGCCTACTCATTGAGTTCCAGGCTAATATGAACTCATAAAGCAAAGTGGGTGGTTCTTTAGGAATGACACCCGAGGTTGAACTCTGGCCGCTACATACACCAATTATTTGGTAAATAAAAACTACTGGAAGTCACTGTAGTAAGGTTCCTATGCTAGTCCCTAATATACCCTGAATAAATAAAGATGGAGTCATTCATGTAAAAGTTGTATATCACCAAGCTGAAACTCTCAGTTGATTTTTGACTTCCTGGGATATTAGGATTATAGCAACAACTGTGAAACCTCCCCCATACAGGTTAGTTTCATTTGGTATGATAATAAAGAGCCCTCTTTGTTAATCTAAAAAAGATAACCTTCAAAAATCTGGTATTAACCAGTTATTTTTGTGTTCTAAACCTGATACTTCACAAGGAAAGTGACTTTAAGTTGACTGTAATGTGGTCTACCTTTTGTTTTGTTTTCTTTCTTTGACCTTTTTATCTATTTGTTTTGGCATATAAAACCAACCTTTTAAGCCAGACATGATGGTATACGCTTATAATCTTAGCATTTAGGAGATGGAGGCTGGAGAATCTTGAATGCAAAGCCTGCCTGGTTTACATAGCAGGGCTTTTCAGTGATAAGGGGAGGGGGGGGAGGGAGAAAAGAACAAACAACAAAACCTAGTAACTTCCAAATTCCTTGGAATTCTTATTTGTCTTATGGAATGAAATGCTATTTGATTATAGAATAGAAAATAAAGTCAGTTAGGATCTGTTAAACTGTATGTTGCAAGGCACTGGGGCTAATCTCCATCACTGAAAAGCAAAAACAGATTGTTCTAATTTTGTCCTTTGACAGATTTGGTGGCTGAGGAAGGAACCCAGAGACTCCTTGAACAACGAAACGAAGGCAAGGTATTATTGGCCCGGTTGAGAGTTGGGAGCCCCTATCTTTCTAACAGAGCCCACAAGAATTTCCAGATAAGCTCCTCTTGGCCAGATTCTGTTCTTTTTGCATTGAGCCTAGGATTATTTTGGTTTGGGGGGGTACCACACTTAGTTTGCTTTGTGAGTGCTTGACTTAGTTTACAGTGGCAGTCACGGCCCTGGGAAAGACGAGTTTGTGGCCATGCTGTACTCAATGTAGACTATGCATTCTACACAAGTACTCACTCACCTGCTAACCCAGCTGCACCTGCATCTCCTAAGCTGGAGTATTAAAGGTAGTGTGCGGTGAAGGTGGTACTACAGGGAGTGTGACACTTGCTCTTCATCTCTTTTCTTGTACATTGAACTACAAAAAAACCTTAGCCAAGTTGGATGAGGGGATCCCAAGCCACAGTGACAACTTAGGGGCACAATTCTAGCATTCAAAAACCATTAGACTACATCCTGAGGTAGTGCTTATGTTTTGAATTTGGACTGTCTTCAAGTCACTTGTCAACAGAGAGTTATATTCCGGTGACTTCAAGACTGTCAGAAGAGGTGAGAGAGCTTCTGCCTAGATAATATAATCCTGGTTGTGAGGATATCAACAGCTCTGAGAGCAGTCTAGCCTGAGGTTACTGTGCCACTACCTTGTTGGGAAAGGCAGTGATACGCTTATGTTCAAGAACCTGGGCTGTTTACCTGCAGTTGCTTTGAGGAACCTTTTCTAAATTCCTGAGCTGAAGAAATTGTGAGAGAATTAGTGGTTGTTATAAATTACTTTGTTAAATAGTGATATAAAACAAGAACTTAACTTTTTCTGAATCTGCGGCTGTGTACTGAGATTAGGTGACATACAGATGTCAATAATATATTCCATGTTTCTAACTTTTGCTTTCTTTTGATCTTTCAACTTTGATATGTAAAACTTTTTCTACTGTTCTTTACTGTGCTCATTTGAAAAGCTACTCCAACTGTAAGTTTTTAAAGTATTGTTTTGTAACTGCAGCTGTCTTCCTGTGTATTGGGAAGAGTGCATATTATATCATGACATGAAGCTTACGCATCATCTTTAGAAGGCCTTTTGCTCAAGGCCTTAATTGTGGTCACTATGATGTTTGACCTTTTGTCAGTTTCTTAGGGTTACCAAGTTTTCACAGAGCTTGCTCTTTATTTCGTTGGAAATTTATCAAGGTTCTAGAGGCTGGAAGTGTGAAATAAGTGTGGGCAGAGCCGTGCCTGGCTTGCTGCTGTGTAACTCTAGTCACTGACCTTGTTATACGGTGTTCTTCCTGTGTTAGCAGAGCATTCCTGGACTGCAGTTTTGAACTCTGGTGTCTTTCTCACTCATGCTTCATTTTTCTTAATGCTTGTGAAATACTAGAAATTATTGTTTAGAACAGGGCTTGGCAAACCATGGCCTGCAACTGGTGACTTTCTGGTTTCTCTCCAGAGAGGGAGGGAGGGACAGAATGAGAGAAATACCAATGAGAATAGAAATATTTTCTTCTTTGTCCATTTGTTTACTCAACTGTCTCTACTAAGTGAGCTTTGACTAATGTGTTTGTATATTGAATGCACAGAGGAGCCAGTTTTAAGGATTTTTTAGAAGTTTTATTACAACGTAGTCCTGCCATTTTGTTTATTCTCTATAGCTGCTTAGTCCATGTTACATTACTATAATGAAATGCCTGAGACTGAATAATTTCATAAATATAATATTTATTGTTCAATTCTTAGTGCCAGCATATGTTTATAAGTGTTCCTTATCACTGCCAGGAAGCTTTCCAAAGTCACATGCAGTTTTACTATACAAGTACTATTATGGTTTATCTCCCTTTCTGTGTTTAAAGTTTCAGAACAGTGGGGTTGAAGGACCTAAATGTATGCATTATATCTACTAGAGTAGTCTGAGAGTAGGACCAGAGCTCTTAAGAATATTTGAGGGCTTGTGAATTACTGTCAGACAGTAAGTGGTTTGTTTCTTCGAACCTTCAGATACTTGATAAAGGTCTGGTTCTGCTAAAAATCATTTTCTTTCCCCAGACAAAGAAGTGAGTATATATGCATGTACAGATTGCATTATTCTGTCAATAAATAAATACCTTCTAGTCTTTAGTGATATCTTTTCTGAGGCTTAACAATTACACTATAAATTTAATGATTACTTAAAAATCTGTTTATTCAAAAGTATGTAGTACTAGTTTTGCCTGTATCACCCAGTGACTTAATTTGCTTGAAATTTTTCAAATATTTTCATTTATTTTGCCAGTAATTTGTATTCACTGGATTCAGTCTTTGACGAACAGAGTCCTGCTGACCATGCTAGTTGCTGGTGAATGAGCTATGACAGTAACACAAACAGTGGCTTGTGTCTTTTCACACTGTTAGAAGTGTGTTGAATGTGAACTTTGCAAGTCATGTAAATTTTACCAGCTTAACTTCACCAATATTCCTGGTTTCATTTGAAACTTCAACTCTTGGAGTTGTTAAACTATTTGTTATAGTTTGATGTTGATCATTAGTACAATATTAAAATTGTACATTAGAATTCAATTAATATTCAGGTTACAGACTGTTGTAAAAGGTTGAAGAATATAAAGGAGCCAAACAAGTGTAGATTAAATTCAGGTGGCCAGTATTCGACCCACGAACCAATTGATATAAAGGTGAATAGTGTCAATTGGGGCATCGTTAATGACCAGAGGGGTGTGCTGAGCTGAGTACGAGGACAGTCAGGAGTTCGTTGCCTGGTGATCTGGGCAGAGGCTGTAGGGCAGCATGCTTAGTCCTTGAGAAAGTGATGATTTGGTGTGCCGTGCTGTAGTCTGTGTCTCTTGTTTTTGCTCCATTTCATTTCTGTCCAACATTTGCTGATTATTTACTTGCACAGAGAAATTGTTTTTCTTGCTCTAGTATGTTTTGGTAAGTTTAATGTGTCTACTTCTCCTGATAATATGATGGTAGTTGTTTATTTGTATTAATAATACACTGGGTTATTCACATTTACGTTGGTACCTAAATGGAGAAACTTGGGACAAGGTACAGCCAAGAAGCTGTGGCTGTGCAATTTATTCATAGTCATAATTTGCTGTTTTTCAAGAGCATTTAAGTCAACTCATTTTCAAAATTTATTGATCCACAAGGAGTTTACTTGATTACATGTAAAAATGTGTTTGAATTTATTACACTTGAGCAAGATCTCAGAGCTTCTTGTACCTTGGTCTGTTTTCCTCCACTGTTCTGGGGCTTTTCTTACTAGTATTCCAAGGAATGAGTTTATCTACGTAAAGTCTTTAAATAAGTCTTGTTTGGTGGGACAGGAAAATAAATATTCTGATGTTAGGTATATGCTTACTTCTTGACCAAGTATGATGTATTTTCATTAAAATTGATTATGACAATAATTAAATCCAGCTGGTGATTTTCTAACTCCAGCTCTTAAGTTTGACAATGAATTTCTTTGTATTTTCTGTGGTTGGCTGTCTTTGAAAATGGTGCACAGGGAGATCTTGGTAAAGTGAAATTAACTGAACCAATTAGTAGTTTTTACACAGCTGCATTTTGGCCTGTCAGCTTTGTATGTGGAACAATCTGAAGTTTTAAAGAATTACTCATATAGAATTAACTTTATTTCACATCCATCTCTTTATAAAGCAGGTTCTTTCAGCTTTGTATGTGGAACAATCTGAAGTTTTAAAGAATTACTCATATAGAATTAACTTTATTTCACATCCATCTCTTTATAAAGCAGGTTCTTGTCTGTTCGATATGCTCAGTATATGGCAGGATGCCCTGACATAAAGGATATGTTTTTCCTACTGTAGTTAGAACTGAATAGGACCTTTAAGATAACCCACTCCAGAGTTTCCATTTTCTCTGAACTTCTGGTGTGTGCTCAGTTATTTCCATGATTGATATGTTTACCTCTCTGAAAGGCATGTAGAAAATTTTTATGCTTTCTGTAACTGTGGAGTTTAGTTAAAAGACATGGGCTCAAATTTGATTCTGTTCATACATGTGTTCTTAGTGAATTTAGCAAAGAAAAAAGGAAAGAAATAAACCTTACTGGAAACTTATGGGAAATAATATCAGAAGGTATTACTCAATCCCTGACCCCAGCACATGGAATTGTGCTATCCATAGTCAAGGTGATTCTTCTTTTCTTTGCTTAAAACTCTGGAAATGTCCTACAGTCTCAGTTGGATGAGTGCTTCCTTAATGCCTTTGTTTTTTAATCCAGTCAATTTGAAAGTTGAAATTAGCCATCATAACATTATATTTAAAATTTTAATTTAGTTTTTTTTTTCAAAGATTTATCACAGGGTAAGGGGATTTGTTTTCTTGGCAATAAAAAAAATCTGCTTGTTTTTTAAGTGGTATATTTTTGTGCTTTTGTACTTACTTATTGGAAAACCCTAAGAGTTTAAAAAGTTAAAAATGAGGGACCTTAATTTTAATCACTTAACCAGGTTTCTAAAACTATAAACATATTACCTTTCCATTAATACTAGGATATCTGTTTAGTGAATATAGTTAAAAGAAGTTTACTTTGTATGTAAGTTGATATCCTGGTCATTCTCTATTCTTCATTTGTGGTCACTTTAGGCCCTGTTTGCCCATAAGACCTGCATGTTCTTCTACAAATAAAAACGGGTTCAGATTAGTAGTAGCTTTAGCGTAAGTGGCAGAGTCTGGATTTGAATTATTAGTTAAGAATATGTCTTAAATGTGGATTTGGAGGAGTGTGTGATGATGTTTGAATCTTAACATTGGTTGAAAAAAGCAGGGATCTTAGTTCATCAGGAATACTGAATCTATCTTTGAAAACTTGGTTAGGCACATTGCATGGTAATTACTTAATTGGATTGGAAGAAAAAAACACTCGTAGAACTTAATGAAAGGACTTTTAACCTTAGCACACGTTCATTTTAAACTGATGCTTAAAATATCAGTAAGCTACACTGCAAAGTCTGTGACCTTGGTGT